AGAATAACTAAAATCAACAGCAATATGCCCCATGTAATATGCCATATTTTTTATGTTTTGAGAATACAAAACTTGGTAAGCAAGACCATCGGAAATATATTCCACTTACACTTCCAAGATTCAAACATTCTGCCATCTGTTCCTATGGAAACTGAAAAGATATTCTAGGTTGTATCACTATCAGCTGATTATACTGCAGAGAAATCTCTAGCTTATTTTAAACTCTAACTCAAAAAGATAAGTATCGCAGTACATTATATCTGTCCACTTTTTAATGTCCATATTCAGTATCTTATTTTCATGGAATAGGAACTTCAGCATAAACAATCCTTCAGACTGGAACAAAGACATTTTGTAATGTCTAAGTAGGTCTTGTAGGGCAGCAGCATCAAAGTCCTTAGCATAATTTTTTGCTAGCAGCTCTCACTGAAATTAGTAGGATTCATTTGTGAATAAATATAATTAGGATCAGATTAGAGGCATGTTTTTGCTAACTATTTTAGCTGTGCGTAGGATACCAAATTTAATGGGCATGTTCACAGACTTCTCTATGTGTGTGGTGCAGATGTGTAAACAGTTGATAACCCCAACTTGGCTATACTAGTGCCAAACAGATCATTCACACAATCTTTCCCCTAAAAGTGAAAAAACAGAGCTCAAAACATCTCATGTAGTTTAAGAAAATGTGTTAGAGTCACCAGGATTCACATTTCCACATTATGTATAGGGAAGGATATAGTCCTGACAGACTATCAAGCTATTTTAAGGAAACAGAAGTCTGACAATATTAGTAAGTCTGACAATCATAGTAAAAAAAACCTCAAAAGCAAATGTGAAGGTTATAAAAGATGCACAGCAAGCTACATTAGATGTCACTCAAGTTTTAGAGCCACCTTTAGAAAGAGAAACAGTGTGATGTGTTGGTGGAAATTAAAGAGTCTGACTACTAGAATCTTGGCCGCTCCTTCCAGTTCAAAAGTCTGGAGTAGGAGGGGGAAGGGGGAATTCATAAATACAGGTAGCCCTCAACTTATGATGGCAATTGGGACCATCATTTCTGTCACTAAGCAATGTGGTTGTAAAGCGCGACTGCATCATTTAGTGATGGCAATCCCTACAGTACTGGTTGCCATTGTTAAGTGAATCCCACAGGCAAAGCAATTTCCTTCCAGCTTCCTACAACAAGACAGCAGGAAGCTGTAAATCCCTGGCTGTCAGGTGTGGGAGGGAGAGAGGGGGTGCGCGGGGGTGGGTCAGGGAGGGTGCGCAAGGGTTGGCGAGGATGTAAGGGAATGCATGAGAGGTGCAGTGTGGGTCAGGGAGGGTGCAAGGGGGTGCGCAAGAGGAGCAGTGCAATGAGGGTACAGCACAGGTTGGAAAGGGTGCACAGGGATATGGTTACTTGGGGGACTGCCTTTCTCCCACTGTTTCTGTCTGGCAGAGCTGGCACACAGACAGTCCTATCCTTGAAACAATATGAACTGATGGATCCCAGGATGTGGGCCTTCCCTATTATGGCACCTGCCTTCTGGAATGGCCTCCTTCCCCAACCATGCTGTCCTTTAGCAGAGCCTTGAAGACCTAGCACTTTCCCCAGGGACTGGGGTAAGGAATTGTTTGGGATGTCCTTTTATGAGGAGGCCTGGTTCTTTTTTTCTTTTTTGACATTTTAAACTTGCTATCTTATTGGGGTTTTCTATTGGCTGTTTTTACTGTAAGCTGCCCAGAGTTGGTTGAGCAGGGTGATTCTATATATTTGATAAAATAAATTAATACTGTAACATTAAATAAATTTGGTATACAAATCTCTACTCTGTGCAACAAGACTAGAGTATAAATCTCTATTCACATTACGGTTGCCATTTTAATTTAACTCTCCTTCACAGGGATGTGGGACAGAATGAGGTAACTCCAGGTTTTATGTTGCCCTAAAACCTTCGGAGGCAGATTAGGATGTCTGTGATTAAACACACACACATAAAGTTTATCTTGAATACTTCTGCAATTAGAGGTCTAGCTGAAACAAACAAACATACAAACATACATACACATATATATAATGTATATATGGTTAGCAATTAAACTAATACAGGTAAAATTGTAGCACTTTTGTGGGGGAGGGGCATTGCTTGATTGCTTTTACACAGAAGAACTTCTATTCAGAAAAAGGTCTGAAGATGTAATGGAAGGCTTGAGCGAGGAGGATACTGGAATGGAGGTTCAAGGTTATCAGGAGGGAGGGGGAACATTCTAGAGCAAGCGCTTTCTCAGCCTGCAGCAAGACTGTGGGAAGAGAAAGAGGATGAGGCTAACCCCTCCCTAGAGTCTCACGGGGTATATCCACTAGTTGCTTTAGCACAGGTTTAGTCTGGCGAGATTCAGTCTAGTCACTCAAACCATAGTAATCTCTTGCTTGGATTATAGTATCATGCATTACATATTGCAGTCCTGGAAGAGCATTCAGAACCATAGCTGGTCCAGAATGTAGCATCTCAAGAAGTCACATGTGCATCTCAATTCACTCAAATAACACTATTACCATGAGAGTTTCACTGACTGCGTTCTTCTGGGTGCAGTTCAAGGTGCTGGTTGTCACCTTTAAAACCTTATATGGCTCAAGATCTGGATATCTTCAAGTCAGCCTATTTCGAATTGTACTGCCTGTTCAGTAAGATCTGATAAGGTAGGTTCTCTCCGTATTCCTTCTCTCAGGGAATATCAACAACAAGGATCAAGGAAATGAATGTTTTCAACTGCTGCCCCCCTTTGGTGGAACAGCATTCTCCTGAACATACTACAAATAGATCCTACCCTGTTGGTTTTTAGGAAGGCCATTAAAACTCTGCTGTTCCAGTAGGAAGGCAGGCTGTGTGGGTTAGGACATTTTAATGCCGCTTCCTCTACCTTTGGAGTATTTATCGAATGCAATGGATATTTCTAGTGTTTATATATGTAAATGTACTTTGATTTTGGCATTTGTAATTTTATTTTTTTAATCTGATTTACAGATGACAGATATGTATGCCACTCAGAGTTGATAGCAATTGGAGAGACATGTTTGCTCAGTAAATTAATAAATATGTAAATATTTCATATCAAATGGGAAATAATCATTATCTGACATTTAATTTCCAGCGCACACAGTCTCTCTCTTCCAGTCCCAAACAATCTGCATGTTTCTTAGGACTGTAGCAAGGAGCAGATTTGTCTCCTAAATTATCTACTGCTATGTTCATCAACACATCTGAGAAGCAAACCCAGCAACATTTCATCCTGACACTTTCATTTTCCTTTCATTCCAGATTCAATTAAGCATTAATAAACTTCTTCCAAATAATCCTTCAGTTGATTGAAAGCAAGTCATTGGTCATGCATAGCAGGCAGGAACACTAATAATTCCTTGATTATTTTGAGGTACAGGCTAATAGGTTTGCCAATTGTTCAAATGATCCACAATTAATTTTCTAGGACTTCACTCATCAGTTACCTTCAACATCTAATAGAAAGTAAAAAATTGTGATACAAGATCAGACATAGTACAAGAAAAGGACGCAGATATTTACACATTCTGTAGCCAAAAAGTTGGCTAATTGTGGAGGAGGGGTACGTTCAGGTCACAGAATAAATTACTAGAAAAAATTAGGGCTATATTCATAATGGTTTATATTCTACGTATGATTAAATTCACTATTAATATCAGAATAAAAGAAAATTATAAATTAACCAATTTATTGAAAAAGGGAGGTTGTTTATCATAGACTTAACTAATAACAGAGGGAAGGCACAACATTCTGCATTCCCAAATCTAATATAAATAATAAACTTATAAACATTACCTGCCTGATTTAAAATGCAAGAGTACATTTCATGGACAATAACTAATCCCACACTTTGTGTTTAGTTCCTAAAGTACAGCTTTTACTGATTCTTGCATCACATATAGACTTGTTTCATAGTCATAAATTATTTGAATCACCCTTGAATTAAAGAAATAAAGGAAATTAAGTATAAAAAATAAACCCATATTTAATCTGCAATGGATCAAAGAGTATAATAGCCTAATTTAAAAGCAGAGGAGTTTTTTTGTTTTTACATTCTCTTTTTAAAAGAAATATCTCTAGCATCAAGAATGGCCTATAGAATTATTGTGTCTACAAAACAAATAGATTATGCAACTGTAAATATACTGCTTTGCATATGACAATCTATTCTATATTCCTAGAAATGTTCTTGAAAACGGTGATTCATTAATTTTCTTGAACACATGAAGTTCTCCTATATTATAACAACTAGTTGCTATGCCAGTCCTACTCCTGGATGAGAAAGGAGGAAGGCTGGGCCACAGGCTAGCAACCCAATCTCATTAAAAAAAAAAAAAAAACTACTACTGAAATAATGAACACAATTCAACAAGATCTGATCAAAATAATTGTAGAGTAATTGTTGCCCAGTGTGCTCTACAGCACAGGCAGAGTTAAGTAAGATGCTTTGCAAAGGTTTTGAGTCATATTCAACAAGTTACATGCACATTTTTTTACTGTTGAACACAAACAGTTTAAGGTGGGTGGACTTCAACTGGTAGGTGGACTGAAAGACATCTGTGCCCTCCTTCCTCCTACTTGACCTAATTCAGACTGACTTTGCTGACAACTTGAGACAAGTATGGAAGAGGACAAGAAACGTTATTCTAGCATCTCTTCAAACAGCAGGTAAGAAAAATGCAGGTTTTCCAGTTCCATTATTTTACTGGAAGCCAAACATATAACCTCTGTAAGTACTTAAACTTATGCAATGTTAGACCAACATATATTTTATGTTATCCACATAATCTCATTAAGATGTAACTTTTCAACATTTAAAAAAACTCTGACCCATTCATTTTATCATAATTATACTGACCCTTTTTATCTGTTTTAGATAAACAGATAAACAAAACAAAAAGACATTTTTACCTGAGTCTCTATTCCTTGTTCTTTTAGGAAACAAAAAGACATTTTTACCTGAGTCTCTATTCCTTGTTCAAGCAACCGTTTAGCCTGATTTTCCACTTCAAGTCGCGCTCTGGCAATAAAAAGCAGTTCATTTTCAATTACTTCAATTCCAGAAAGATCTATTCCTTGAGAAAGGTAATCTATAAAAAGAACAGAATGTTGATATTACCACAATTCTGAAAATAACAGTGAAACATGTTAAACTTTCTAGGTACTATATAACATCACAATATCATGTACACAGGCATGTGCTGTCTTGAGTTATTCTGGAAGGGACAAGAAAAATTATTAATCAATATTAAAATATCCAACACAAAATTTAATGCATTCATTCTTTTTAATTGTTTTCACTTAGAAAAAGAATGGTAAGTATTTCAATTAAAATACACTACAAGTTAAAATTATTTCATTCAGCTATCACCATAAATAAATAAAGTAGACTGACTGCTAAATAGTAAGTCAAGTTCAAAGCTCAATTATGGGAATAAATATAATAGCACTGAATCATGGCAATAAGGAGAATAGGCAATACATGAAAACATGTACAGTCATGGTAGAAGCAAGGATTTATTTATTTGTAACATTTATTTATAAGCTTTGTACAGCTTTGCAAGGCAAGAACGTTAAGGAAAGGTATAGTAAATGGTGTTGGTCTAACTAATTTTAGCTATGTTCCCCTTTCTTCTTATTTGATGGCTTTACTTTTTTTGTCTTATGATTTTTTTGCTCCTTTTCTGCACTCCACTTACTCGAAAAGACAATAATGTGATGGCTATACATATGTATGACGAAATCTTTAAGTTAATACCAAGGTACAAACTGCTGACAATAAAAAAATGGGAGACCAATGTCAGAGAATACACAGCGATGGCAAAACTGTATATATTCATATAATAGATGTCTACTTAAATGTACGCAGGAATGGCTCCTTTACATATGATACATCACACAGGTTTAGATGTTTGGAATATGTTTTTTTAGAAATCAATTTTAAAATATCAGACAAAATTATTTAAATAAATAAAAGCAACAATTTTCCAATATTTGAAGAAAAAGACAAAATACTTAAGTAGTGATTAAGTATTAGTAGCTAGGAACAATGGAAGGAAAGGGAAAAATGAGCTAATGAAAGTTCCTCAGTTAAGATCTTTATGTCTTACTTTTTTACTTTGGTTCAGCAATTCACTTTTCTGTATCTATATTATTTTTTGCTGTCAGCTTGAAAAATGTAAAGTGACCATATGTTTATAATAAAGTTTTATAATAAAAACATACAAAAAATACTGAGCTACACAGAAAGTAAATATTTCATGGAACATGAGACTGCTATTAAAAATGGCATCAGGTCTTGAGTTTTCTGCAACCAAGGCGCTTCATTGTAATATTTATCTCTTATGAAATTAAATACTAGTCTTTCTGTCAGTGGAAACCTGCGATTTAGGGCAAATGTAGAAATAATGCACACTGTGATATTATGCTGCTCTATTACAAGACTGATCTGAAGAGCCTAATAATAGAATACTTTTTTCAGAGATATATTCATGTCCCACAAAATCTGTATTTTGTGGATATGGATAGAAAAGACCTGTTTAAAGTAGACAGCGCTACTAAAAGGGAAACGCAAGAATCTAGATGAGAAGCATCTTTGCCTGTTAGTGTTGTGGTGTGATGGATTTAGTTGCAATCTAGCAGTGATAAAGCATAAAGAAATCACATGTACACATCACTGAGACCAACATATACTTAATGATCACAGGACTGCAGCCAATGATAGGAAAAGAAGAAAAAAGAAAACAGCATAATGATCTGTAGATGAAATAGCATGATGCTAACATCTTGCACTTGCCAAGCTTCTTAGTGCCATTTTTAAAAGTTTCCTTCAATAAAAAATAGCATTTTTAAACATTCACTTTGAGGAAGTATAGCTTCATCCTTAAAGCTCCTATGCAGTTTTGCTTCTTTATTTCACGTTGGTTTCCTTATAACAAATAAATAAATAAACAGGATATAGTGGGTGTATGTGCACGTGTGCTATAGGTAAAAAGAGATGTGTGTTCAAGAGAGAGATGTCTATTTCTAGTACTATGGATATTCCAATAACAATACTATGGATATTCCAATCTCAATTTTCTATTTCCATTCCAAAACAGAAATATCTTGCTCTATCATTCAGAGCATGAAAACAATTTCCTCTTATTCAGTGGCACTCAGATGGATGATACCTGAACACTGTCTATTGTGTTGAAGGCACTGAAGTATATCCTAGGGGACAGAGTAAATAGCCTTCTCACTGATGAAGATGATGAGTAGTATTTCTACCCCAAATCATATCACAGCTCCCTTGCATCATAACAACAGATAACATTCTTCACATTTTCCATTAAATAAATAGATTACTCCATCTGAACTTTCCTAACACATGAATAATATTAATACTGTATATGTCACCTGGCAGTAAAAACTTCAAAATTTGGGTCACCCTTTACAACAGATATAGTACTATATCTGGGAGTTGAAGTCCAATTCTGGGAGTTGAAGTCCACTCATCTTAAAGTTGCCAAGGTTGAGAAACACTGCCTTAAACCTTGATGGAATATGAAATATAGCAGGATTATATACCATCTTTATTCCCTGTGACGTTCTACCCCTTCTTTTTTTCCTCTCAGATTCCCAGAGAACTAGTCTGGAGGGCAAAAATAAACTAGCATTATTTGGAGAACCAAATAATGGGGTGGGGCGCATGAGATTAGATGAATACAGTTTTATTTCTGCAAATTCTTTTGTTGATTGAATGCATAAAGTAAAAGAATAAGAATTGAAACAACTATTCCTAGTTGTAACATAAAATGTTTTGCACTTCAAATTGTATTCCAAATCCAAGTTTTCATTAAGTTCATGAATGCGGGGTTAAAATTTTGACATTTTACATTATCTTACTCTTAAAAATGCATTCCTACAAAGCTGATTGGCACAGATTCCAGAAACCACCTCTAATAATTATAAGAAAACCAAATTTCTCAGTGTTCATCTATAGTCCCAGATTATGGTTTAAAGCAGCCAATTGGAAAATATTACTTTAAGAAGTGAATGCAGTTAGAATATTATATGAAAACCAGACTGAAATATATATTAGCTTTCTTTTATATGAGCATGTAATTATAACACACATTTGAATTAGCTAGCAAGTTAGTGATGATGTTTTAAATCATTTTATACTCACAAAGTAGTTTTCATCAAGTTTCAGAATATGAATATTATCAATAAAAGCTACTAATACTTCTGAAATGGGCATTCTGGTTTTCAACACTAAACATTTTGCTGGAGACTAGACATTCTCTTCTAATTCTTATTCTAATTCTAATCTGTTAATAATGTCTTTCAATAATAATAATAATAATAATAATAATAATAATAATAATAATACAAACAAGAAGTTGCAAAGCTTTAGGGAAAGGAGAAATATAAATGATAAGGATTATCAGAGTTCAGCCTTCAGAGCTGTTGTCCAGTTTGGGAATCCCTTTCTCCTTGAGGTCTAAGACAGATGGGAATTTGGAATGTCCAAAAATTCTTCCCACATTCTATTTATTCATTCAATTTGGACACCATCCAATTCCAACCAATTCTCATATTTTACCTCCTTTCCAAGCCAAAATGGTAGCAGAGGAATTTTAAGCCATTTAAGCCCACTCACTCTCCACAGCACTCCTTTAGTGCTGTGATATGAAGATATCTCTTTTCATATTCACAGCATACCCAAAGGCTTACTTAAAACTTAAACATTTAAAAACAGAATATGGCAAAAGTTGTTGTTTTGTTTTTTTATATTGGCTTCATTGAAGCATTCAATCTTGTCCTGTGATTAGCTGACAACTGGCCAAAAAGCAAACAGGAACAATAACCATGGCATTTCTTTGGGTTAGTGGCAACCTTGGATTTACTCAAGCTTATTCATTTATTTTTCCCTCTTTTAAAGATGCTGAGTATGTTCCAGGGGAAAAAATAGAACATATTATTAGAAACTTAATAGCAGAGAAAGATGCACTTTAGGAACATTTCTTAACATCTATTGAGAATATGGCTTCTAGACTACCAATGAATATTTAAACATAGTGTTTTCATACACCAATTTTTATATAGTAAAGTTACACTGGAACTCTTAAATTATGGGTGATGAGACAATACAGAACTATATTCCTTAACAAATATTTGTTCTAATATTTACTTCCTCATATTCCCAATTGGTTACCTCTCGGAATTATGGACTATCTTCTGCTTTGTATCATACCCCATCATCTAGGAGTACAGGCAACAGCGCTACTAGCAACAGTAGCGGATGTTGCCGACAGGGAGTGATAGGCCACACAGTGAAGCAGCCAATGGAAAGTTGAGCCAGAAAATGTCAGTAGAGGTGTGGCAGTTAATCTTAAAAATATAATTCAACACTCCCACAAAAGCATTCCTTTTAACCAGCAACTGATGGCTGTGGCTTTGCAGCAAAGAGTATACAAAAACGTCTAAACCCTCAAGCAGGGCTTGGATAACCAGATCAAAATAGAGCCAATCATTATTTTCTTTCCCTAAGAGGGAGCTGAAAACATCTGGTTTGACCCATGCACAGAGCACTATCACCTACTTTTTACTATGCAACTTTGAGAATAAGGTTTATGGAATATGGGAAAAACAATGGTTGGTAAGAATATTTAGTCACAGTACCACACCAGAGACAATGTAAAAGCAAGCTTATGAATTACAAGTGAAGATTTATTAATTATGATCCATAATATCCTTTCTACCAGGAGAAAAAACGTGGTTGAAGAGCTTCTTCAACAGACAATTCTACTCAAGTTTCAAATGGATAGTTCTTGTCTAGACTACAGCAACACTTAAAATAAGTGTTTCAGTTCATGATTGTTTGACATGTGTCAGCACTAACTTTGTCAAGTTCTACACAAAAAGATTCAGTAGCGTGATGGAATGGAATTATGAAGGCCAAGCTCAGGGAGATAAGCTTTTTCTTAGCTCACCGG